GTCCTACTGAACCCTAGACCCTAAACCCTATAGCAAGCACCCTCTAACACCCTAAACCTTAAACCCTAAACCCTATAACAACCCAAACCCCTAAAGCCTAAAGCCTAAACCCTACAACAACCTTCAGGGTCAACTTTAGGGCTTCGTCCCTCGAGCTGACCCTTAACTGCACTAAGGGAGTTCTCTGAATTAGGGCCACTGTTTAGGTCCCCAGAATAGCACGGCACCCTTTGAAAAAAGGACCCTAAACGGGACCCTAGTTTAAAGAACTACCCGCTATAGCACCCCAAGTTTCCCCAAGTGGCTTTGGATGGGAATTTGCCAGGTCCCCTAATCGTGGGATGTTGTGGGGGTCAAGAAAGCGGTCGGGAAGGTTTCGGATGCAGGGCTTAGGGATTTTTGGGGGGTGTAGGGTTCAGGGTTTAGTTGTGGCCTTACAAAATACATGCATTCAGCTGGCTTGAGATGGCAGGAATTGTCAGGAAATTGCTCGTTCACACAGGAAGATCCTGAGGCGAAATCCCAAGAAGTAGCAGGCCGGGAGCTGGCGAAAGGCCAGCTACAACCCTGAACTCTAGAATCCTGCGCCCCGAAACTTTCCGAAAGTTCAGCTTCGGGCACGGAGGTACAGCTGGGCGCTGAAAGAACGGTCTGTGAAATTCAACAAACCCCGCAGAAGAACCTCGACAACACGATATGGAGCCCACTCTAAAGCATCTGAAGCCCTTAAACCCTAGACTCAAAACCCTCAGTTCCCCAACGCGGAAAGAAGCCCTGAATAACCTCGGGGTTCCTAAATACATCTATGCCATAATGTGCCCCCGCCCCAAACGCTATTGTTTAGGGTTTAGGGCTTCGAATTATGATTGTTAAGGCCGCCCTGCTAAAACCATCTAACACACGATCCAGCGCGCATCAGACCCTTACGGGAACCCTTTCAACAATACAAAGACGGATTCGAACTATTAAGACCCCTGTGTTATAATCCTTGCATTCCGAGCCCTTGTTGTCGCAAGTCCTAAATCTCAAGGTTTAGGGGTCTCGTGCTTAGCGGTTTAAGGGTTCAGGGTTTAGGGGCTTAGGGTCTAAACGTTTAAAGTTTATGGTTCAAGCCCCAAATCGACTCCCCGACCCAGGTTCTTGTTTTCACACTGTCCTGCGTCGTCCTGCACTTTGCAGTGTATATCCAGGCCCTCGTCTCAGCAATGCAGCACATGCTATAAAATTCGAAGCGTTATGGCTTGGGAGCGACTGGTAGGGTTTAAACTTAGTTTAAACCCTAAACTCGAAACCCTAAGCCTAAAAGTGCCAAGGTTGAAGCCTTACTGGTTGATTGTGTTGGGGGGGGGGGGGGGGGG